CAAGATCAATGGCAATCTTTCACCAAACGAAATGTGTTATCCGCGACTTTATCCACATTGCCTCTAATTAGTGTAAGCTTGAAAAAAGTTTGTTTACCTGTGCTTCCCAAAGTAATTGATCGATTTCAGCAACGGTATCCGGCAATGGAATCCGTCCATCACGAAGAAAATTCAGCACCATTGGGAAATACTTTGGATCATGATCGATGAACACCTCGTTGTTATTATCGTTAGAGCGATCGATTCTTTCAACCAACCTATAAATAAGATTCCAAAAATAGAACTGAAAAACAACATTACAACAGAAAAAAGGCAATCGAAAAGAAGAAAGCAAAAAGAAAGGAAACTATGGGAAAAAGTGAAACAGGGAAAGAAAATGGAAGAAAAGGAAAAAATACTTCTCGAGCAGTGATTTTCTTTACATACATTTTACTCTCAGCATTTCGAGAGCCAAAGCACTTACTGTAGAAGCTAAGCTTCGCTGCAAGTTCTGTAAAGTCCAGAACTTTCAGGAAACCAACGAAACTTCTTTATATCAAAAAGGTCACAAACTAGCACTGAATTTATTTTTTGTGTCATAGAACATTCGGGAAGAAAGTAGGAAAAAGTGGCAGGCAGGAAATAAAAAAAAAACAAAAAAAAAACAGTGCTAGATAAGGCCCTACCAATTAATGCAAGCTACTGAGCATTCTACGCCAAATTACTTACTCGCTTGTTATACCGAGAAGAACAACTCAGATGAAGTAGGCTCAAGCCCACAAAGCTCGAAACCCGAATTGCATTTGTTATCAATCACATGTTATATCGATCGACAACAACGGCTGCGCCCAGCGCCTATCGTCGCTAATAGTATAAACGTGCCATTGTACGCTATCACATGTGCAACATAAAAACCCGGGTACCCACCCAACTTCCCACCTTCGCAAGAATGCCCATGAATAAATGAACTCTGTACCGCCTACGCTACTACAATATATGCGTCGGCCGTCACAAATAAGCTTACCATTGAATTACCACATGCCCCAAAACTATACAAATCCGCGTCGTATTTTTTCCAGGTAGCGTCTATGACTGACAACGTGAAAAATTAGTTATTTCATGTATAGACAGAATTTGCGAGTACAAATTCGAACAGGAACAAGTAGGATAATGTTTGTTTATATCTGTTCGAACGTATTCTCATACTTTGAGGACCTGCAAGAAAAAAATGACACGCGAATGGAAAAATAAGGGAGGATGAAAAACAAGGAAAGAAGAATACTGCAGTATAACTTTATGTCACAGATGTCTGCCACCAGATGTCTGCCACAACCATAATATGGGCAATAAACACATTAGTTGAGGCAGACATCTGTGATATAAAGTTATACAGGCTGGCTGAAATAAATTTTTGAATGAGTAGACATGTAGAAAAGAGCGTAATGGAGAAAACAGAACTACGACAATCCATGATGCTAACATCAGGGGCGAAACAGTTAATCATTATGTAATGTGAGTAATGAAATTAGGTGCTGAAAAACGGCAGCTACGTTAAGAAGAGAAATAATGGCAAGTAAGGATACCAGATAAGAATATTCACCATAGAACAAGAAAATAGTGAGAATTTACTTCCCTTGATAGTTTCCTAGAAAAGTTGAATAATGGCTGGAAGCCCGGAAAAACAAAGCATAAAGAGAAAGAGATATCAGGTTAGATGGATTATTCTGTGATCGACAAAACACTTCTGAAAACGATTTAATGATTCAAAAACATGGAAAGTACCTGGAGAGTTTGGTGTTTGGTATTCGACACAAGGTCCCCTCAGTGGTCTCGAAGATCTGTCCACCAACATTCAATTTCACTCGACGGTTGAGGCCAGACATTATTGTTTCTTCACTGACACATAGTTTATCTACAAAAGAAAAACAATAATGATACAAATGCTTCCTAACGAAAGCGATATTCATGACTGGCGTACATTGGAACTGGAGTTAACAAATGGTGTCAAAGAGCATACGGGGAGACCGTTGCCAATATGGAGGAGCCCACAACGTGTTCAATGTTAAAGACGCATAGGTGCAGGGATAATTCAATGATGATGATGATACATTTGATTCTTTGCATTGTTCTCCACTGAATCCACGATAAGCCTAGGGCTCTGCACTCTACATATAGTGGGCGCATGCAGTCTGAAAGCCCCATGTCTTAAGCGCTTCATTTCGACCAGTTACAGTAGCAATTTATTTTCGGAGTGGAACCTAATTTCCATGCAAAAAGAGATAGCACTGGATATTTTTATTGGATTCCGTAGTTATTCTCTCTAGCAAAAATTCAAATAATATTATATATACAATAGGTTCAGAACTAAAGAGGGGTGAGCTGAATAATGAATAAATCGATGTTAGAGATACGGGTCATGGATTACCCTGCGAAAACATCCCTTTTACTAGCACTTTCAACCACATGACTCGAAGCAGAGCCTTCGGACACTCAGAGTGTGTAAAAAACAGTCAGCAGGGCTGAGAGGAGGAAACCTGCATCACTCAGTAACCACGCAATTCTGCGATCCAACCCTAGGGCAGTTTCTGAAACTTCGCGAACTTCGAAAAACATGCAAGATGGAGCTGACTAAATGCTCGAACCGTTGTATATCAACAAGAAATGGAGGAGCAGTGGTAGAAAATGGCTGCGCAAAGGCAAAATTACTGCACATTTGCTATTTCCGCTCTACCTGAACTTTTATGTCTAACCCATATCCCACACCCAAGGTTTAGTAGACATAGTGAATATACGCGCTATATGATGGGCCGAAACCGGTTCTATTCCACAATAAACAAAGATTAGAACGTAAAAACGACTTACATTGAACGGTTTCAATACCCAGCCTCCACAAATTATGAAGTAAATTGTGTATGATTATTTTGATTAAAGTTCGATCCGCTCACCTGAGACATGCTCGCAATTGATGGTTTTTAGCGATACCACTAGCAACCAAGCGATCGCTCCAACTGATACTTCGCCTCCAGGCAGAGTTTCGGAACATGATCGACGAAACTATTGAGGATAGACGAAGCGACAGATACCCTCAGCAAACCTATAAAGGAACTAAGAAAGGCCTTCTAAGGAGCGATTGTACGAGACGCTACGCGACGTCGCGTGGCATTCGCATGTGCCACATGTGTGTATGTAACCTTACGTTTTTTTACGCTACAGTAATGACAGTGTACCTTGCAGCATCAGCAGTTCAAGAGATAGGCAAATGTGCGAAAGCAGAAGAAGGAGAAAAATTGGAAAAAGGAAAGTGAACGTAGCGCACAGAAACAGTGTCACAAACCCAACAAAAAAGAACTCTCCCGCTTCTCGGAAAAGCAAGCCATTGACGTGTGGCGCAGAGTCCAAATCATTGCCAGTTTTCCACAGTTTACCGACCAGTAAAAGTCAGACGATTTAGTGAGTTGGGCGATAACATTGTTGTACGTATATTCGTTGAATTTAAAGGAGAGGCATATCAGGAGAAGGAAAAGAATAACCTTTCTCTCTCGTGTCCTTTGTTTTAAAAGAGTTGCATGCAGGACTGCGAAAGGGGTCCCATTGAACTTTTTGCCTCTCTCAGAATTGTCCGGAAGTCAAGTTAGGAATGCAAATAGCAAATAATTAGTTGATGGGTAACTCCATACACTGACATGAGGAACACTCATTTCATTCATTCAATTCAAACGCCACCCGTCTCCTTGAATTTTTCATCGACTTCTGACCTTCACTGAGTCATAACTATGATCTTTCATAGAGTTCTTTGCAGACTCGATTAAATTCTGGATTAGGATCGAGTATTCGTCATCGAAGTGAGTAATGCCCACTTCTACAAGTATTCTTTGAATCTGATCAAGAATGACCATTTTCAAATTACATATTACCTATTTAAGTAACAGGAATAGCAGATTGGAACAGCTTGTTGTCAGGTTGAAATGGCTCCAACTGAAAGGGGCTACCACAACTTGAACAGGAATAACGGCCCCAACTTTAGGTGATACTATTGAGGAAAATCGGATCGTTATAGAAAAACTTTTGTGGCGAGGAGCATAGTTACTAAAGTACCTAGGGAAGGCTGGGTTTTACAGGCAACCCTCAACTTGTATCAGCAATTTTGTGATTTTTGATCGATGTTTTAAGCACTCTTTTGCGAAAAGAGCACACATATGCCACGTGCGATTCATACTACTACCTATCCAGGAGGTACTGCTGTTAGTAATCAGACGCTGAGCTTATAAACACGGCCTTCCTGGTGAATTGACCCCCAACCTCATCTATAATTCACTGGCTCAACAAATGACATAAAACCCCGGTGAAAGTATAAAATCAGCTCCAAAATGAAGTTAAACTTACTACGTTACTCGTAGAATAAAATCAAAATTGAAAATGACCGAGTTGCCAAATCAACCAACCACTGCGAACAGCTCTAGAAGCTCAATCATTTCCACGATAACTATCAAAAGACAAAGTGCATAGCACGATTGTGCAGGGAAACTAGTTAGCAACTGTGATCAACGCATGAAATTAACTAGAAATTACTTTTAAAAAACTCATATGGGAGGTAATTTCAAAGTCTACTAAAGGTAGTGTCGATACGGTCCGACTACCGTAATCGAGCGATCTTTGCAAGAATCAGTACAATATTTATTAAGCAATAGCTGGAAAGACAGCAGATGTATTATCAACGTACACAGACACATGAATGTATCACATTTGGTTTATTATGACGTACAGAAGGAAGGAGATTGGGGGGATAAGACATGTATATGTAAAAGTCACGAATATTGCACAATTGATTGATCAAGGGCGATTTGATCTACACGCTTTGTGGCCACGTGTCTTATACGGATAAAAGTACTTCGTTTGAAAATAAAAAGAGCTGGGAGGGAAATCAATAAAAAAAGGAAAGAGTGGTAAGATTAGGAGAATCACATGTAATGAATAATGAGTCTCGATCAATGTTTGCAGTGTCAACGCATATAGGCGCGGGCGTGCGCGTAAAATCGATAACACATATTGTAACAGGAAGGCAGTTTCCACTATAATGAAAGACGTACAATCATACAATCGATAACTAGAGGGTGTTGATAAGGTGATAATCACAGAACATGGCGGACACCGTCAATGTAGAACCATCAAGGGCCCTTATGTGAAAGACGTCTGGTCATTGCACTTTGGTCGAATTTTCAGAACAGGTACGTATGTAGTGAAGAAAAAACGATATTTACAACTCGCATAACAACATTACTAGTATCTGGAATTAATGATGACATTTCTAGGGGTATGTGTACGAACGTGCGTCCGAGGATGCGCGCGGCAAATTGCGCGGCGAAGTTCATAACTATTTGAACGACTTTAGCGCCTATCATTGGGGCCCAAATTTGAAGTAGAATAGATTAGAAGGATTATCTGGGCCTAATAAACTACTCCACTTAGAGTTTGTGCCCCGAAAATTGGCGTTAGGGTCATACAAATCGTCACGACCTTCGCCGCGCAATTTGCCGCGCGCACCCTCGGATGCACGTTCGTACCGTCCCCCCATTTCTAGTTATGGTAATCGCAATTAATATGATATGGTACGCAATTGCAGACATTCAAGGCTCATTTTCAGCTACTAGATCTATCTAAATTCAATGCAAGTAGCGTTCCTAATTGGCTTAATAGCGCTTAAATTTTGCGATTCTAGAAAACGCCTACTCATTGCAATCTACCATAACCAGAAAATCAGCTCGAAATCAACAACCGTCAACGAAGTCTGAAAAAACGCGTGAGTACACACTACGTTCAACGAAGGAGCCGCAATTTTGCACAATACTTCATAAAAGACGTAATACTGCAATCTTTCGTCATTGGGAAGGATGTTATAAGGCATAAAGCAGCTCATTTCGCCGGAATGTGAAAGGGGTCAGGGTGCAGAGAAACAGATTTTGTTCTGCATAACTGTACCGAGTTCGTGTGTATTTTACGAGAAAAATAGGCGAAATTCACCTCCGTAAAACTAAGCCCTTTAAAATGACAAAAATGAAAGAGAGTATGCGAAAGACATTAATGAAAGCGATAAATATACAATAATTATTATTAATGTTATTAGTTCGTTTGTCGGCAACTTATAGTGTCAATCAAAGCAATTATATGTTAAATAGTAGATACGGTTACGAGAAAAAGAGTCGTGCACATAATCGTTCCCGAAAACGGAACAAATGTCGCGATGACGTCTGCCACGCGTAACGTGTTGCGTCGCGTCACGCCTGTCCCTAGCGAATAATCGTCGACTGTATCAGATGGTTCATAAACAAAGCAACTGCTTGTGGATTTGACGCACGATCACACTGCATAAAACGAACAGCTTGCTCCTAAAACAATTTATAAAATAGCCCGATAGACGCCGGACAGACTTCGCAATCATCGCATTTTTCTGAAAAAGAGAATTTTCGGAAATAATGCTCAAGGTGCATGGCCTTTCAGACTTCGACGTCCGTCCGTCCGGCGCGTTGCGCTCACGTTGCATGCATGCGAACGGCAGCCCTAGCCACTTTTTGGCACATGATCCAGTGATCCAGCGTCGTCAACAAGTGCTCAGGACCGCCGTCGCACGCACGCAACGCGCTGATGGTTCCACAAAACCAAAGGGGCGGTGTTGGGCAGTTGCGTGCGGCTGCGCTGCGGTATTGGCTAGAACTAAGGTGTGAACCCTTCGATAACTTCGTTTTTTTCTAGAATATGATCCTGATGCACTATACAGTACACAATAATAGAATGAATTTTGAACAGTCGCAGTACAGCTGTGCAACCGCGCGTAGCAGAGAATTACATATACCGCCTTCTCGTACTGAATAGAAATGAAATGAGTGCTTTTTTTCATGTCACCTTTCAAGACAAATCACATTAATCAATACCAATCGATAGTCCCCAAACGCACCTGGCAGTCGAGTAGTCGCCTGTGTAGCATTTCAGTCTGCTCCCGTAACGCACGTGTTTCCGCCTCCAGGGCACGTAGCGCTGCTTCAGCCGACGAGATTTGCGCTTGTGCTCGCACAGCTTCCGTCTAAAGAAATTTTGATTAGAAGGGCTTAATGACAACAGACACCGTACCTTTCCACCAATAGGCACTCGTATTTATACGGTAGTCTTAACAGGCAGCGTCCGTTTATAAATCAAAAGCAATCGATAAATCGATCCATCGCTTACCTGTAAGGTATTCCCTCTGCTTTCTAGATATCGACATTTATTGTCTGCCATCGTCAATTTGGTCTTGTACACGGCGCAATCGTAACATCCATTTGGACTAGCAGAGGAATGTGTTTCTGACGGTGACACATGTGAAGGTGAAATGGCAAAACGAGAATCGACATTCTGGAAATTTCTCAAAATTTACACACGGATCAATACGTATCATTTTCATATGATTCGCTCACGAGGTGATGAAAAGCACTCGGTGTGTCGCCTTTTTTGAAAAGATTCACAGGTGAATGGGCGGAGCTTGTGTGAGCTGGGGACAAACTGTCAGAACTCGTCGATGAGCCATTTTCACATGGACTACAAAGTCGATACCTATACTTTTGACATGGTAAGAGAATTCACATGCGAAGATTTATCACCTTTCTGTCCGTTTAATCACTAGAGACTTGCCTTCGTCTGATTCACTACTAGAGATGTTTAGCTAAAATAATATATGTATAGTTGACAAATAGCAGCCATGGGTGATCGACCAATAGCGAACTGATCACGTGATAAAGCAGCCAATCGCAAAAAAAAAACCGACCTTATCGTCATCAGCTTGGGCCGAGTCGTTCTCAACGTTTACTTCACACTCGTCCTCTTCTCGTGTATCCTTTTTCATCAAATCTACCAAGGGCTTTGTAGCTGAAAAAAGGCCCATTGGTGAAGAGCGGGTCGATAATCGATTACTTCAACAACTTACTGGGAATAGGTTTTGGTAGGTTATTTAGCCAGGCAGCAGCTAGGCCAAAGCCTGGTTGGGTCATGAGGGAATTCAAAACCAATCGATCACGAAGACGACTCATATCTTCTGTTGAAGATGTCAGCGGTGGTGGTGGGGCCGAGAAAAATGGCAGGCCTGGAGTCGGAGTCAACACTGCAAGAAGCCACATAGTTACCATCGGTGGGCGTGGCTTCCATGGAAGAAGGCGTGGCTTCCACAAGACTTACACACACCTCCAGGATTTTGCATCTGTGGCAACGTGTTGTTGTTGATCGGATGCAAATTCGGATACTGTGAATCCACACCATCGGGTGCTAAGCCTTTACCAATAACCGGAACCGTTATCGATTTACCTTCTTCCCTAGCCTAAATCAAAGTCTGAAGCATTCTATAGACCTTAAATTTTATTCTGAACTTTCTCCATGATGATCCTCATTACCACAAAAAAAANNNAAAAAAAATTATCAAAATTATCCTTCTCCAGACCACAATTTCCTACAGTGTTACAGTCAGAGTGCAGACTACTGTTCATCCGCACCTTTAATCTGCGTCTCTGACAGCATTGAGTAATCAATAAATACCTGTATATGCATGTGTAGGCTCGTCTTATCCGGAAATGCCCAATTACAACATCGACACATGAACATACGAGATATTTGGTGCTGCTTGTACATATGCGCTCGCAACGTTTCATTGCCTGAAATCATTAGTTATTTACATGTTTACTTGTTTACTCAACAACATAATATATAAATAAACAGTTCCCTACGTGTCATAGAATTGCCGTAAATGGTAGCATGTGGGGCAAAATATTAACTCAAACAAAATTCGAGCAAAATTGAACTGTGTCCACAACAACTGCTCGCGCAGTCTTTCAAAAAAGTAAATAAACTTTGCAGGTGAATAACTGAGTACATATTTCGTGAACTATAATATTAATATATTCCTTTTATTCCATCAACTTTGCATATTTTCACAAATTTCCTCAATATCCATTCCTAGAGATTCTGTGAAGAAACCGGCTAAGACAGAACAATAACAATTTGGAGCTAAAATCAATTGATCTCAAAGGATACGCCATGCACACGTACTGCTCTATACTATTGCTAACATGATTCAAAGGTTGGTGATCAATACAATATCTCCAGATAAAAAGTGATTCCTAGGTAGTCGCGGTCGTCACTTGAACCGGACAGAGCAACTATTAATGCATACTTAACAATATTAGGATGGAGTTATTCTACGGTGGTTCACTCTTTAGTGAAACGCTCAATACGAGATTTATTCCTTGTACGGCTGATGCTCTATGCGTCACGGAATCGTTCCAAAAAATCGGTTACACTTCGATATCTACGAAGGTCCCCGTAGCGAGGTTTCCAGTTGGCGCGCTTCAAACTGTGAAATTATCTCTTTTCGAGACAGAATGAAAGAAGAAAAAAACTACGACGAAGTCTCATCGCCTATTGAACTCGGTCAGGTCGCTGCTACGCCGCGAATGCAGTTCGTAACGAACTTGACGTCGTTATTTAGCAGAATCGGTATTCGTTCCGTGTCTAACTGCAACACGATAGAAACATTGAGCCTACATGTTTCCAATTTAAGTGAACGATTTACGATATCGTAATGCCCCCGGGTACAACCTCCGGCAACAGAAGACTCAAGTGCCAAATTGCTGGTTACCTCACACACCCTCAAAACCAAACACCTTTTCCTATTTATATCTCACAACTCCAATCCTTGTTGAGTTCAGAGTCCAAGATGCATCAGGGCGTGGGTGCACAGAAGCTCAAAACCCCAACTAAAGCCAACATGGTTGGAATGAACATCAAAGGTCTTTGCCAAAGGACAAAGTTGAAATGAACTCCATTAGGTAGTTCTTCCAGCAGAACTAAAGAAATCAGAAGCAGTAATTCGCACATTTTTAAACAAAAAGAAATAAATTCAAGTTTCTCTCAATATACGCCCTCTCAGTTCTGTTGATATAACGGTCATGATAATCATCCTGTAGAGAGCCGACGCTATCCCTCCCAAGGGTACCTCTGGAGTGCTCGGACACTCAAACTTCAAGGACTACCTTAGCTCGGATGAGAAACTTCATGAACAACTTAGGTTTGCTTCTTAAAGGAGTTGCTACTATGACGCGCGGGACCTTCAAGCTATATTTTTGATTGATGGGCGTTCCAAGCAGAAGGTGGTGTCGCAGGAATAGCTCCTGCTGATTACTCTCGAAGTAATTCACACAGAACCGGTAGACTCGTACGAGAGTCTAGGAGAGAGGTCATTTGGGGATTCCATGATTTTTACTAAACAATAATCCAAAGCTGTCCCCACGTGCCTTTAACAAATAAGATCCCTGCTCCAATTATGAAATTCGCTTTAGGATTCCAAAGCATATACTTCAGCTTCAACCCAGAACGAGAAGAGCCTGCTGCGAAAATGAAGAAGTTTCTCAAAAACAGTGCAGAGAACCACATATCGTGTCAGAACGACTTCAAATCAACCCTTGAGAGGTCGGCTTCTGTACCCTGAGCTTCTTGATATGATTCTTTCAAAAAGATGAGCAAAGATCTTCTGACGCTGAGAATAGAGAAAAGACATTGTCATATGAGTAACAGATAGACGTATTTCTTGTCTACGAAGGTTTTTGGGGTAGGCCATGCATAGGCATTCTACATGAAATCACATATGTTGGTCCTGAGATATTTTATGGCTCATTAGCGACTTTATCCAGTGCTACCATCCTTCTGAATGGGACGTGACCTCATCCCATATTTCACACGAGGGCCAGATAGCGCTCGTAGCCACTGCTCCGTACCAGCTCAAATATATTATTTCAAATCTTGAGAATCTATCTAGTATCTTTCGGTTCAAGTTTTTCAGCACCACAACTCGCCTATTCCGCTCCATTTGCCCTGACTAATCAGCGGCGATCTATCATCACATTAATTAGTCCAGTCGGAGAAAAAGAACATGAAAAAGAACGGGTCAAGTCCGTGGGTGATCTTTGGGGGAAAAGGAACGAAATTGGATGAAAACGAAATAAACATGATAAAAGAAAGTGCTGGAAGGGGAGCCTCATCTTGGATTCCACTAGCCATTCATTCAGTCAGTCTAAGGATCTTGAGAGATTTACAATTAAAATTAATTGATTGCGCTTGACTGTGAGGAACTTTGAAATTTTCTGAGGAACCCTCAAAAGTCCTGAGCAGTAATGAAAAATGCTCGAGCCACGATCGACATCTCTTTGGGGAGTGCGCCACGTATTTGACTCCCAATAGGAACCATACAAGGGTTTGGAAGCGTTCATGGCCGATGCAGTGACTTCCCAGTTCAAGCTAACAGACAACCAGCGGTAGGATCCGCCCGACGAATATGAAACCATAAACTGCTCGTTAAGAGGGGAATTCAGGATGGCTGGGAACAATCCATGACTCCGGGATCTGATCTGCGTATGGTGTATATAGGTCGCACTCCTCTGGATCGACCCTCAAAAAGCTTAGAATACCAACTACATAGACAAAAGAAGAGAGCGGCTTTGTATCAAGTAATCCTTCGGTAATGCGCCATGCGGATAGAATTGTACGGACTATAAAAGTGGTAAGACTGAAATGAGCACCAGCATGCTTACAATTTAGCTGAGTTCGAGTAAAAGCGGAGGAACCAAAATTTAGTTATCTTCACTCCTTGAGTGAACCAATTAAAATTCATTCCTCTTTTTTGAGTGATGAGTATTAAATGAGTAAAATGCCCAAAATCGTCACAATTTCAAGCTCCACCCTCTCTTTCGAAAGCCAATCACTATGAGTCCATACAACTTCCCTCGACGCCAATGACAAAGTGAAAAAAATTGCACCTTCAAGTGAAACTTCAAGGTCTCGGGTAGAAAAAGGTTAGCTCTTTCTGAGTGTAAGTGCAAGACCGAAGAAAGCAAAAAAAGAAGCCATCCATGGTCGAGAAAAAGTTGTTTGTTCATGAATTCAATTCTACCTATTCACACCTTGATGGTGTTCAAATAGTTTTGGCAACAAGTTTATCGAAGCCAGCCAATGCCCACACTCGGCTTCTTTGGCACCAACTATCAACTGCAACTGAATCCCAATTGGGTAGCTACCCGTTCATGCTAAAGATGGACCATGCTAGCATAGAAGACCACATAGTGATGGGCTCACTTTGGTTCAGTATTCGTGTACATAGATTCACCTATCTGGCGTTTGTGACCAACGACCTCGAAAGCCCACCTAGGATTGCAAAAAATCGAATCGAAAATCAGAAAGCACAAATTATGAAGTCCCGTTTCAGCCTTCCAATTTTCTTGCCCACTCACTACAACAGCAGAGTTCTGCCCTAAGTTTACTTCTAATTTGAAAAATTTAACTGAAATTTCATCTATGATACGATCAGGTTGGAGCAGCGACGAGTGGCGGCGCTCCCCTCATGCAACCATCGGATCAGGGCAAGGGGGAAACCCCACTTATACCAATGAAGCCTTCTACTCCTTAGTTCAACGGTACTGAACTCGTCCAAAGAAAGTCAAACACATGGCGCATCCTGGNATGCCGTCAATGCGACAACGACCACGTAGTTTGAACTCTCGCCGCTCGTATTTTTTCCAGGCTGTATGACCGTTTTTACGTCTCAGTGAAACGGTATTGACACCGCAATGACAACGACCGACTAAAATGATCGTAGGGCAGAGGGCGAAAACGGAAGCAAAACGGGATGACAGGAATCTGAGAAGGGAAAAAAATGAATGAATGAATGAATGACGAAGAAGAGGAAAAAGAGAATGACCAAGGAAGAGGGGACATGAGAATAGAACGGGAAAATCGAAATACGCGCCATGACGAGGTCAGCGCGCGCGAGTCATCAGATCTGGTTCTGTTATCAGCGCAAGAGGACAAAAGCTGCTTGCGAGGTCAGACTGCACTCTCCCTTTCAGGTCAATCTGATCTTTATCCGTTGATTTCGCATTGAGAAATCCGGATTCAATCATGAAAACGACAGCTCCCTATTCAAGGAAAAAACTAAGTAATCCCATTCCGCATCACCCACCTACACACCAATCCATCCAATTACAAGTGGGCTTTCCTCAGCGTTACTATTTAGAATTCCATCCTGACAGTAATTTTTCAGTGTTGAAGAAAACTTCAGTAAACGAACAGATTTTCAAAAAATGTCTAATTACCTTAATTTAAATTAATCCTATGCAGATGCTTCTAACAGAGGTACTGAATATTATACCATACCATATAGGTAATTTGGGATATTTTTAGTATCTGAATTCCAATTAAGGCGAGTCAAGTAATCCAGAAATAGATCGGTAACAGGAAGGTAATGAAACGGTCTTTGTCCCTCAAACAGTGCCAACTAGGTCCACTTCTCTAGCGGGACCAAATAACCGTTTAGGCGGTTCAACCTTCAACTGCCCTGGGTGCCTTAAAGAACATCCTCACTCCTGCAGGAGCAATCAAGCTAAAAAGCGAAGAAGCACTGTCATAAGAATTGATTTTGTACATACTATAATAGTGAACCATTTACAAAATCCCTATTCACCAGTAAGGGGTTTTCCTGACAGATTCATCCAAGGAACTTCTTCAAAAGGGGAAAATCGTCGAGTACGGGCTCATACCTGAGACCACTTTCTATCCCTTCTTTGCCAAGTTTTATCAAATCTCATGCCAATTGATCATTCATGCTTATTCTTATCGTCAAAATTCCATACAATTTAAAAATTTGCCATCAAATTAAGAAAACGAATACGACCCAGTCCGAAGGAGCTGAACAAATGACCTTCCTCATTTATCCTATTTTGGCATTAGGGCACAAATTCTGCGGCAAGAAAAACCTCCTCCCTTCCACAGTCAAGTGTCTGGTGGAAACCGATTAGCCAAAACAAACTCGACAATGTGGATACTGTAGATACTAAGAATACATGTAGCAAGACGACAAGCTTAGATAAAAAGTGGAGAGATACGAATTGAATTTGGAGAACTCAGCAGTAAGAACACTCGTATTCCAAAAAAANAAAAAAATCCAAATCCATTGAGTAGGAGTACCACTGTGTCCTATGGAAATAAGCTACCCTCAATCCCATTTAAAAGCAGTCAGCATGTGAGGCGTTTCAAATTCAGACCTAACTCATATGGAAATGACGCTATTGGATGAATAATAAAGAAAAATGTCAAATAAATAAATTAATAGTAAAAATAATAGGGGATAATGATACAATAAAAATAATACAAGTATATTAGAGCCATCCGATGTGATTGAAATCAAATTACGCAGAAAAATGTCTTTGGGTTACACTCAACGTAGGGTCAGGAGCGAGATGGTCAGAAAATCAAAGGCTAGGATATTTTTAAAAAGCAGAAAAGGCCAACACTGAGCCAAAAAAAATTAAAATCAGTCAATCAAAAGAACCACAATCAGAATTCACAGAAAGGATTGTTACAAATAAACTGCGGAAAAACTCTAGACAGCTCATTACTCACCAGGATTATCTGTGGGTGCAGGAACCAGCAGACCCATCTGCCTGGAGTCTTGCATCATATCCGTATTGGCGCTTTTCAGCTTTCGCTTTCGGGAGCCAGCATAGCCGGCAGATTCGTATGCCATCAAATACTCCTTTTTACGTTGGAGTATACGGCAGACGTTACTTTTAGCAATGGTGTACCGTTCAGCAATCGCCGCTTGACTCATGCCCGAGTTTTCTTCAGCCAGTCGAATCAGTTGCACCTTCTCTTGAAGCGTCAGCTCTTTATAGGGTTTCTTCTTTCGACGTTCCTGATCGCATGATTCGGCAGTGGACGCAGCAGCATCGACGGCATGAGTAACATTGGCGCTGGTGGCGGTAGCACCAGCAGAAGGGGTACTGGGAGGAGCAGCAGCAGCTCGGTGGCTCTCCATTTTACCGCAGCGCACCGGCTGCTGACGATCGGGTGAAATTTGGAACACAGCAAGACGAGCGTGAAGTGAAAGCCGCACCAACGAGTCGCGCTCTCGTTGTTTCAGTTTTCTGACCCCGGCTGGGGGGCGAGACAAGGGCGCGACCGGCTGTCCGAGGGAATCCCCTCCCTTTTGCAGCCGTTTCTGACTCGAGCTGTCACCACTTTTAGTTTGACGCCTTCAGGGAGATCTTGGTTCTCAGGAGATCGAAGATGAAAGTGAGAGCAGTGATGAGGAAGCCGATGACGATACGTCCTTGTGCGAAACACCGTGAACCATTGGTCGAGTGGGTGGGGCTACGGGATGGACGAGACTCGCCGTGGACAAATAACATCGCCCTTTGCATGAGGCAAACGAGTAGAACAGATTCGATGAAACATCGCTGCATTCAGCGCTTCGAGAGGAGCTTCAGCCGGAAATTAGTTCTTCATTACTAATAGGGTTAGCGGATTCCTTCGACTTCGCCTTCTCAAAATACCTTCGGAACTGATGACCAGGTTTCCGCAATGAGTGTCCTTTAATATTAGACCACTTCCAGTCCATTGTATACGAAGGTAGTAGATAATATTTATGCGCCTGATCCTTTGGGTATTCGCCATGCACTTCACTCGGCTTGTCTTTTTTCAACCTCATGGGAACTTCGGGCGCGTACCATGTGGATGAAAAGGAGGTTACTCCACATGTTCGAAAAATTTTCCATTCTAAGCAAGACCGACGTGAATGACCACCCTATGTAGATGACACGGTTTTTCCCGATCTATATACCCAAGCAGTGGGTATTACAGTGCAGGGGCTCTACCACCACTGAGGCAGCCAGTCAATCAAGCCGTACTCATACAAACCAAACTCTGGCCCCCACTTCGGAGGTTTTTCTGAATGTCTCTAAGAAGATGAACAAATTAGACGGAGGGTCACTCGACCTTAACCAAAAAATCGCATATCAACATATCAACGCCCCAACTATGCTGAAAGGAAGTCGAATGCACGACGTATTCGCCAAACAAGAGCTGGGTGCTACTTAGATACTTCTGCATTNCTCTGTGTCTTCTCCCCCAATTTTTTCAGTTCCGCCCTGATTTTGCGCAATCACAAAAAGGATTCACGTTAAAGTAGCCCGCCATACTGAGTGGCCGCAAGTGCGAAACATGAAGGACCAGATGACAAGTGAGTTAGAAAATAAGTAAATAAATAAATAAATAAATAAATAAATAAATAAATAAAAAGATTTGAGAGAAGTTATCCTACTTTAAAAAAATCAAAAAAAAAACTGGGTCTGTTTTCTCTTTTCAAGGGAGGACTACTTATTTTGGCAGTTCTGATATCATTTGCACAGTCGTGTTAACAAATGCCAAAAAAGGGGACCCGACTATGTTCCTGCTCACGACATAAAGAACAAAAATTCCAGAAATAATTTTGATAGGAATGCACCTTCTCCCTCCCTTCCCCTCGGGATTCCCAAATATGACCCTCTTAGTCATTGCGTAGGTATCCTTGATTTTCTTCCCGACCACACTTGACCTTTCATTCATCCGTTTACTTCCTCGTCCTCACCATAATTCCCTTTCATGTGACAACCTCCTCGCGATCGTCGTCGCAATGCGGCTGTGCGGCAATGGTGACCGCTCGGCTGCGGTTGTGTGCCCTTTCCCACCTCTGTGCCAGGCAGTCCTTGTTTGTGCATCATATCTCGTATTTGCAATAAAAAATTCCGTGAATGATGACGTCGTCGCTGGCCAGCCGCCGCCGACGGCCACCTGTTGTCGCCATTTATGTCGCCTTTCACCCGACTATTTCCCCACATTTAGTACGATTCATCGAGAAAAACGTTCACCAACTAGTGACACATCAGGGCATCACTTGCATCAGGAAATTCCGAGTGGCGAATGACTTTCATCAGCTAGATAAAATATGGCTCCAACTTGTTTGAGCTTGCCAGCATTCCCTGGAGTCCTGAGGTTTTCTAGCTCGATCAATCCAATTTTGGAATGAGCCTACACATTTGACTTCCATTGAGAATTGTAGTAACGTTTGAGTGCGTGTGGGGCCCTATACAAGTTGCAGTGGCTAGCTGATGTACAGCAACTAATTTTATTCTCCTGGACGAATCTAATTTCATGACCCCAAAGGAATGGAAGGCTCGGTTGGCCTGAGCAGATATAGATCCTAGCTCTGATCCCGGACCATGCGCGTGGGTGGCGGCGCACCACTTGGCAGTGCAGAACTGTAGTATCACCTGAAGGCGTATCTGGTCCTTACAGCGGCCAGCGGCGGCCAGCTGTGATATCTGTGATCTGTATAAGTCCTTATGGAGACTGTTTTAGCCGAACAACCGACTCTAGGCTCAAGAATATGATGATATGCTTAAAACCAGGGGTTTAATCCATCGTTATGTTAGACGGTAACCACGCCCCTGAAGTCACACCGTCTTCACCGTCAATCTATGAGGAACCCTCAAACCACGACAAAATACTTGAGACGTCATTTCAAGCACATTTGGAGGCAAAAGAATTATAACCAGGCCATTTGCGTCTCTAACTCTTTTTGGGAACTTTCCAGACCATTCAATACGATCCAGCTCATCATCTTAAAGACGTTTCTTATTGTTAGACTATCAGATATTGGGAGACAGCTTCTGGCTCCTTCTAGTTAAATTATCGAGAGCTTTCCAGCACCATTTCTGCTTCAAAAACACTTTACAACTCTGCTGCACAACTCCAGTTCTGCCTGGTTAAACTCCAACTTCTTAACTCTCAAAAATGCCGTTCACGTGAAAAAAGCTCCTACGCGGTGGGGTGAATCTTCCCAACTCATCTTACTTCTGGGAACTTCTCAGATACCTCACTTCTTTAAACTCCTTCTTCATTGCAACTAACCGCATTCTCCTGCCACGAACCGATCACACGACAGTGGTTACGGTAGGCACAGATGCCTGAAAATCCCTTGCTTCTCTAAAACACGCCCACTTCTACCACCTCAGTTTCCCGTAGGCCTTAACGCAAGCTCATCCTGTCAATCTCGGAAGATGCGAATCGTTGAAGGACCATCGCATAGAACTAATGAAAGGGTAACTCGACTGTTATCGCTAATTACTAGACGACTTTAGACAAAACTTTCCTGGTCAACTGCTACCATCCACCATATACTACTGGTCCATATATCCATACTGGAACAGCTTTGAACTGGACACATCCGTCAATGAACGAACTATTTTGGAAAATCCAATAAAGGTGCAGCTTCGTAGTAGTCACCAAATGGTACAGTCCCGTTTCAAAGGCTCCCGCTGTTCACATGTACTGTTGCCAAGTGCAATCTGTACCACCACCGGGGCGTTCTGAATGCTATGCAAACCTGCGCTTCAACTAACGTCACGCTCCAAGCATCTTCAAAATCGTGCGCAATCACAGATTACGGTAGGCATCTTCCAGCGAGACAATGCAATTAATCAAAAGGAATGTTCATTGTTCATTGGTGACCTCGATTACTTAGCCAATTTTCATTTTATTTTTCGCTTTTCCTGAAAACTCATCCCAAACACACCGAACCTCCCCCGCAAACCTGATACTTTGCTAAGTCCGGGGACCACATTTTGGATCATGACCGTCCTGAGCTGATCAACCCTTCCATACTTTCAGAATCAGTCATCTGGGGTTACCTGACTCTGGGTATGGAGAAGGGCTGGTTGGCTCAGAAGGATTGAGACCGAGTAGAGCCGCCTCAATACGCTTGGAAACGTTTGGGAGGTTTGTACCGAGTTCTCCCGCCCGCACAGGGACCCCACCTCAATACCATTTCGAAGCAGATTCCCAGCAATTTGGATGCTACTCCGATCAGGCAGACCGATTCTCAAGGACAGTGATACCGATTTCCATGGCTTCGAACAGGCACCCGTTTTGATTCTCGACTTTTGTGACACCCTTTCCCACCCTCTACCGCCAACAACAACAACCCGATCAGTGGCGCGTGATCGACTACGGGATGGTGGGCGATTCATGATAATCCTAGTGTTAATCGGTTTGTTGTTATCTCTTTCTCGATCGTATTCGGTGTAGTTGTCCCAGATGACTGGACATGGCCGCCCTAGACCGGACCGGCTGCTACCGGACCAGCTCTTGTGACTTAATCCCGTCGTCCAGTTCACAACTATGTCAATCCCTACTCAAAAATACCTACCAATCAATTAAAACAGCCTATCAGTAACTGCGCCGCTAGAAAACCAGTTCAACATTTTTTTTCATGGACACATCTAGTCCCCACGGTAAAAGCGAGTAAACGAGAACGTTAGGGGGTGCGAATGCATCACGAAAAAGTGTTCATTCAAGTAAACAAACTCAGTTTAATGCAAAAAAAACCATCCTTCACGCGCAGCCTGAAGGCAATCCCATGTCGAGCGAATTTCACCTTCAAATCCTGAGGGATCTCCCAGAAAAAACTTATGAGTCTATCCTCAACCCAGCAAATTGATCATTTTATGAGACACTCGACATCTACCAATTGGGTATTCCTTCCAGCACGTATTCCTTACCTATTAAGAATCGTGGCAATATTTACAATTAGTTGCCTCTTTGCCCGCAAGCCGCGAATGGGATCCTGGCTCGGTACCCGCCTAAGCTGCAATGAGTTACCTAGTTCAGCAGTGCAAACGTCAGCTGTTCATGACGACTCTGAGATCAGGTCAGCTAACTGATGGAGCTGAGAAGCTTGATTAGCCCGGGTAGATTCCGATTTGTGACCTGATAGAGCCTTCTACTCGTCGCTACCCAAAAACCCAGCAAAAGCGATAGCATTGGAAGTCAACATATCGTTGTTGGCAAACCCATTCAAAACGAAATTCCCGGGTGGTGTGGATGCAAAGAAGAGAGGTGCCATCTCTAGTGATTGTCTAACTGGCTAGTTCGAATCTCATGTATACTTACAAGTTTCCAGAGTGTCAGGGCGGCTGGGGCGAGTACCAGTGATAAGAA